CGTTCAGTACATCTCGATTTGCTCCCGCTCACGTTTTTCTTGTTCTTTCTTCAATTTTCGGAACATACGTTTCTCCTCTCTCCATTTCTCTCGATAATTCTCCATCGCATCACTTGTTGCTACTGTCTGCAGGGTTGCCCGCTGCGTTTTTCACATCAGTAGCATTACGGCACTCCTGATCGTACCACGGGTTTCTTGATGGTGGTCTTTGGTACCCAAGTGTTGCTTTTGCTGCAGTTTGTAGGGAGTGGGCAATTCTTTGCCATTCTGCATCTATATTAAGTTGGTAAGTTGAGCAGAGTAGGTTTCTTCTATCTGTTGTGTTTGCAGCTTTTTGACTTAGAGTTTCTATGTTACATTAGACCGCACCTTTGCTGTTACATTAAGGCGAACCTTCACTGTCACTGGGTAATGGTCTGAATCGATATTCCACCCTCGTATCGATTGAACGTCTAAAACCCTGGGTGAATGCCTTCCGTCTATCACAACATGATCAATGTGTGTACATCGAGATGATTGAACCTGCTGCTGCTAACTACGATATTTTTTGCTGCCGTTGTCGGATGTTTCTTCATGAGGCTGAATTTTCCGACGGTGGGACCAAAAATATGTTATATTATTTATATTATTTCTCCTGTTAACCATAAATCCATATCCAAATTCATGTCTCGTTTCATGGCAGCTTTAATACAGAGCGTAATCATCATATTTACTTACGCCAGTCCCTTTCCATCGCACACAATAATATCGGCTTTGTACTTCTTGAGTACATCCGCCAAAGCGAAAACTGTGGCTGTTCTGTTCAACGTGCGCATATTCGAAATGCAGTTCGAGGTCCTTTATACGTTTGCGAGGGTCGTCAAATTTGGAGGGTTTGGTCTTCTTTTTCGTTGCTTTTTTATAGTAGGATGTGTTTTCCGAATGTGGGCAACTAACGGATGTTGAAAGCAGCTACCATGGTGACACCGCGGGGAGGTTAGTGTCCACAGTGGGGATGAAAGAGGGACCAAGAAAAGCCTGGGATTCGCCATGTTGGAACCAATCAGAGCCGATAACGAATCACGTTTTTAGGCTTATATTCCGAATGTCCAAATAACCGAACATTCTACATTAAACTGTTTTTAACGAAAACATAACTTAATTAAAGGATGTCGTTTTTAATTGAATTAACTTCACAAATTCTTATCAAATGTTTCGAATGTCATTGCGGAAGTGAATTCTATCATTCCGTTCGGTTATCTTAATTAGAACTGGATTTACCCGACTTCTAACTATTCACAAAGTACAAATACGTATTTTCCCAATATTCTATATTAAATATCTTTGATTATGTATTTACAATAACGTACTACGCATTTCGGTTGTATGTACCTTTGAATAGTTATGATATTTACTTTGTTCTCACTCAAGTCATTGACTGTCATTTTTCCAGACTATCAGTATTGATAAAATCAATCTAACAATCTAAAGCTGATATCAATTGAAATTAAATGTCAGATAAATATATTAAAATGATCAATCAAATCAATTTTTTGGAATTTGAATAGTAAAAAAAAACATTTGCTTGTCACCTTTGAAAATGTCAAAACTATTTAAGTTTAACATGTCACTCACCCAATCATTCATACATATGGCGAAGGGAACCATAGCTAACAATGCAAAAACGTATTCAAAATCCTACGCTAATTTACAAACTATAATAACCCCCTCCACCTCTATAAAAATTATAATAATATATGTATCATTTAATTCAATTGAATTGGCGGCGTATCTCGATACCCTACCCATGTCTTACAATGTGTAGTTTTTTTCTTTTTGTGCTAATAAGATTATAGGTGGCAATTAATGTGATTAGGTTTTAAATTGAAACTTCCGTCAAAATGACTGGCAATCTACATAGGTTTGTATATTGTATTGGTTTGTTTGTATGTTGCTAGGTATTTATTTTTGCGTGTATTGTTAGGTGTTTCCCAGTAAAATTGATTGGCTCGGCTGAATGAATGAATGAAACTCTTAAGAAATTATGATCACACAACCATAATAAATACTTGGTAAATGGGTATTTGATGGACATGAGGGACATTCCTAAGTTAATTCTATTGAATGGCTTACAATCGAGAAAAAATGTTCGACGATTTTGATATTTGAAGTGACGGATTACTGAATAAAATAATCAAATCAACTACTATGTTGTAAGGGACATATTCGACCCGAACTGATTTGGACCGTTCACGTATTTTTTAACTTTACACAATAAAATGGTTGGGGTATAAATGTTGTCAATCCGTTTTTTGTTTAATATTTGCCCGACGTCCTATAAAGTGAATACAGATTTAGTTATAGATTTGTGCCGTTTCGAAAAAAATAGTTCAAATTAACTATTCCGCAAAAGGAACGATCGGCAACAGACACTGCTCTTTCGTTCAACTACTTTCTTTTGCTCCAGATTTTCCTTTTTACTACCGTTCACCGAATTCCTTTTGATCTAATGGCCCGTCTAGATCTTCCCATTCATCGAACTAATTAACAGATGTGCGCCAATTTACGATTGACTCAAAGGAACTAAATGAATGAACTAGCACATTTTGCGGGACGAACCGAAAAAAATAACCGCAAAAGGAACTAGACCAACCAACATTAGTCCATGTATACTTATAGCAGGTATCTCGTTTTAAATCAAATTCTTTCTTCTTATGATTTTCACAATTAAAAAAATACAATCTGCATTTTCTTTTGGGTTCTGTTATAGTAGAATTCCCCTGTGGGGTATGTTATGGTAGCTACTCCTTTTCATTTAAATTTATTTTTTCAAAAAGAGCGCTTCTACCGTGGGGAAGAACAATGATGCCTGAATGTAGCCCAGTTTCAAGAGCCATCAAAAAGTACCAACGTGGTAAATGTTGAAGTACCGCGGAGTGAGCGGAGAAGCATGCCCCTAAAATATACGTCATTGAACGCTTGAAATTTCATCAGTTCACTGCCAAGAGAAAGACAAAGAGGATCGCAATAATAGACATAGAACTCGCGTTCTAGCTCTTCTTGCCTGAAACCCAGCACCCAGAACAACAAGTTGCAGATCAGTTTCGAAGAACAAACTATGGCTTTGAATGACTAACCAAAATATTTTGACATTGTCAGGGTGGTAAATTTGACGTTTTATTTTTGGTATTGATATGCATTTATAAACGAATGGCCTATAATTTCGTATTTCGGTTCTTCGGCATTTCACTCTTAAAAATATATTATTTTTTCATTAAATTACCGTCGATAGATATCTGTACCATAGGGGTTTTATGTCAATCAAGGATTATGGTAATCCCTCCTGGGTAATGATCCAATATGAACATATTTGGCCATAGCTAAACATATATAATTATCGGGACACCACGTACCATAACGAATTCTGACATTTTATTTCCTTTCGATTTATACACATCTCATTAACGTCTGATTGAAGGGCTGAAGGCCGTACCGTATATAAAACATTCCCGAGTCTGAATGTGAATCATACTGATCGATTTAAATTATATTGTAAGTACCAGGGTAGGAGACTGTCTGAAAATATATTCGCCAACCTTCACGAACCCCAAATGCCAAATTTAAGTGAGACAATTCAGTTAAAACCTTTCAGATGCTGAAAATGTGGCGAGACTTTTAAAAGATAATATGTTAACCCTTTCAGTGTTTTTGTCGAATATATTCGACATTTAAAATTACTCTCTTCCTTTGCAATTTTTCGGTTATCCTATGTAGCGTTACAGTTGATGTCTTTATCTGTGATGAAAGATAGACAAAACTGTCCGAGGGTTAAAAAAAGAATTGATTTTTTTCTAAACTCTGGGCCTTCATATGATTTTAAGTACAAAATTTTAAATTTGTATTCCGACAAAAATTTTCTTTGACACTGAAAGGGTTAAAATATCGAAAATTGGATGGGTTCTTAATATGGTCTTATACCAAGAGCCGAGAATTTCAAAATTTAGCCATTTCGATTAAAAATACTTCTGGATGCATCAATAGAATTATAATCGGGTGGGAATCTATGGGGCCAATGTCAAAACGAGAAATTTTCTATCGATAAATTTTCATGTTTAGGCATTTGGAGGTAGAAAAACTCCAAGAAATCGGAATGAGAAATGACGAAAGGGTGTAGCTAAAACCTTAAAGATCCCGAAAGCAGAGCGGAAATTTTATATGAGGATAATGTCAAAAAGCAGAAAATTTGGCGGGCCCTTGTATGGTCTCATACAATGAGTCCAAAATGTCAAATTTTAGTCACATCGATTGAAAAATACACGTAGGGCCATCCAAAGAACTGTAAGTAGATTATATCAAAATAACGGAAAATGAACGGGACCTGTATGGAAAATGTTCTTATACCAAAAAATGTGGACCTATATATCAAATTTCAAAATACCAAATCCTTAGTGTATTTGGAATATTGGTTTAGATTTCAATTTATTATCAAGAACTATGTAATTCATTTAAATATAGTTTTACACGTCCTGACACATTGCAACCTTGAAACGAACATACATTTTTCTTTGAGTGTAAAAAATGTCCACATCACCTACTGACAGTGCAATCGAGTCTGAAGTTAAAAATATTACATAAAATTATTAGAATTCTTTAAGAATAGAAACTCAATTACACACCCTTTTAAATAGAACCACAATTAGAGGTCTGCCTCTTTGGCGGGTTAGCTATTACAATGATAAATTATGAATTTTGAGGCTTGCGATAAGAACAAGAAAAACCAATCAATGTTTTGTGGTAGCAGAATATTATAGCCGACTTGAAGGTCTCCTGTCAAAGAGAAAAATGGCATGAAGTGAAATATGTTAGAGGAATTTTTGTGTTGAATAAATTCCTTCAGACACAAAACACACCTAATATTCGGACATGCACACGAAATATGCAAATTAGGAAAATGTTCACACGAACTTAATTTTTTTAGATAAATAATTAATTTTGTTTTGGTTTTTTGCTTTCATTTTCAGATTTTACTACTTGTGGCAATAGTGGCGTTGGCAGCTCCCAGTTACGGTCAAACCAAGACAGGCCTGCGCCGCAAACCAAAAATCTACAATGCCCTGATAACCACCGATGAAAATCTCGTACAAAGTAGAGCCTATCCGGTAATACAGCCGACCATACATGAATCTGGAATTGCTCATTATGCACCCTTTGGTCCCTATGGTCCATATACGGGTTACTATAATCCTCATGTAGTAAGATTTGGTCAACCGATTGCACCGAATTTAATGCTTAAAGAACAGGTTTGTCACAGTGTTAAGTGGAGGGAAATAATCTCAGAAAAATAGTACTAATATCTACTCATTTTTTACAGTTACCCTACCCTCTGCCAGTACCACAATTTCCACCGCAAATAATGGGACAACCCTTGGGACCACAACCCCAACCATATCCTGGCTACCCATTGCCACCAAATACGCCGACAGAACAAAAACCTGCGGATGACCAGACACCACCCACGGCAGCAGGACCTGAGCAAGCAGCAGCACCCACCGTACAACCACCCACAATGCTAATGCCAAAGGATCCAAAACCTGAAGATAAAATGCCATCGGAACAATTACCCATACCATTGAATCAATATGGTCTCCCACCCTCACTAATTCCTCTTAGGCAACCCGGCCCATATCCTCAACCCGCTCCCGCACCTGGACAACCCCAATCACCCTATTTGCCGCCATATGGTTTCAATCAATTTCCACCACTCTACTATAAAAATCCACCCGTTTTAAGACAACAATTCCTGCCACCCTATGGATATTTGCCAACAGGACCACAATTTCCACTGAGCAATGCAATTCCCAAGGATGACAGTTATCCTCCAAAAGCTCCAACTCCAGCTCCTCAATTACCACCACCACCTGCTGCACCTCCCGCACCCCAACCACCTGCAACTGAAGCACCACCAGCAGCTCCCGAGCCACCAGTAACACCACCCCCACCTCCCTCACCACCCACAGACAATGAACCAACCGCCACAAATTTTGAAAATATTAAAAATGGTTCCAAGAGTCCCGACAGCAATGTACCCGATGTTCCACCACCACCAATACCATCCGGTGCCAAATCAAAACAATCTTAAATTCGATTGTTTTTTGTCTTTTTTTTTTGTAATTATTTAGGGAAATTTTCTTTGCGCTAAGTTATTATTTATTGAAAATTTTTTATTAACCCTTTCACTTGAAATGGAAATTCTAAAACGAGTTTCCAAAAAAATATATTTAATAAAAAATCTAGATTAGAGATTCTGTTAAGTAACTAAGTTATATATGCACTAAACTAACTACATACATACAAACGAATATATAATCAGCAATTGGATTGAGTTGCGGTTTTAAATAAAAAATATTGAATATGATTAATAAATTTTAATAATTTTTTTCTTGGGGGAGTATGGTGTCACCCGTCTTTTTTTGGAGGAAATGAACTGATTCGATATATGAAAATCGTACTGGATTTCTGATCAGGAGTGGGCCGATAGGTCCCATCTGCGAAGTTAATGTAAATTTGGTAAAATTGATACAATTTTCATTTAATTGGATCAAATCGGATATTCTAATATCAAAGTTCAAATTTTTGACACTGTGCGTTCCATCTTCGGTCTTGTTCTAGTTCGGACAGTCCATTGGCTTGATAATGGATTTACTAATTTTCAAAATGTTGACAGTTTGTTGCGGAGGTACCAGAAGGAGTGGACCGATAAGTCCGATATGTACAGACAGACTGACTTAACGCCCAGACATCAACGCCCAGACGAAACGGCTGAAGCTAGAATATTGTATGAGGATCACTCTAAGTCCGAAGGTAGTTGATGGGGCCGAGTTTTTGGGTAGTCGTATTAGAACCACACAAAAAGTACTATATAAGGTAACATTTGTATTTGATGAACCGTGGAGGTAAAACCCTTAAATGAGGGTCACTGATGGAGTGTAGGATAGATGTACCAAACGGTTTTTTGGAAGTCGAACTATAAGTATCCGAAAAATAAAATATACTGAATTTGAACAATTTCGGATAGAAATTTTGAGTGCGAATCATGTATACGAAAGGTACCAAAGAGTAATAAATTTAGTACAATTTATATTTGGAGGGACGGTTGGAGCTGGAATCCATGGAGGTAATTTTGGAAAAATTTAGTTATTTGTATGAAAATTACTAAATGGTACTATATTTGGTACAATTGGTTTTGGGTGAACCAATAGAACTAGATCAGTAAAATTTCGTACTTCTGTGTCTTTGAGCGGATAAGGCTGTCGAATGTGTCATTATAGTCGGCGAATAGGTGGAATGTGTCGGTGTGTTTTTTGTGGGTCTTTTTCAGGATTTGGCTCTGTGTGAAAATCTGTTATATCCTTTCAGATCTTCAACAAGCTGTCTGTATCTGTCACCAGAAAGTATTCTTTATTTCTACAGGACGTGCCTGCACTAGCACGTCCTTCGATTTGGTGTTTTACTCATTGGTAAAATTTCCGGACTTCATTCTGACTCCTGTACGTCTCGATTTGCTTACACTCACGTTTTTCTTGTTTTTCGTTTTTTTTTTCTCTTTGCTTTTCTCCCGATAATTCTCTCTCGCATTACGTGTTGCTACTGTCTGCAGAGTTGCGCGTTTTTCACATCATTAGTATTACATGGCGTAGGGGATGATAGATACCAAGCAACGGCTCTGATTGGCTTTAACATGGCGAGGCCCAGGCTTATCTAGTTCCCTCGGAAAACACACACTCCTACTATGAAAAAGCAAAAACAAAGAAACCCAAATTCAGCTTAAGGAACAAATTTTCTGTCTCAAACCAGCCAAGCAAGTAGGTGAAACTTTGTAGGGGAGGTACAAGAAGGAGTGGACCGATAAGTTCTATCTTTACAAACAGACTGACTTAACGATTCATCAAAGCCCAGACGAAACGGCTGAAGCTAGAATCTTGAATTTAGGATGAGGGTAAATCTTAGTCCGAAGGTGTTAGGTAAGGCTGGGGTTTTTTCACGAAAAGATGAACCGGTGAAGGTAGAACCCTTAAATTTGGGATGCGATGGAGTATATGGTGAACCGAACAGTTTTTTGAAAGTATTTGAAAAGTAATAAATATACTAAATTTGGGACAATTTCGTAGCATGTGCACGAATAGAAATTTGGACTGCGAATCAAGATTGAGAAGTAGGGTCCATGAAAAGAGGTGGTCTATACAAGTACTAAATTTAGTATAATTTGGAGAAACGGGTGGAGGTGGAATCCTAAAATTTTAGATTTACATTACCGACGAAGTGTAGGATTGGGATATGTAGGTAGTTTTGGAAATATGTACTTATTTGTACGAAAATTACTAAATGGTACAATTATGGATTTCTGTGAACCGATAGAGCAGTTAGGGTTCTGTTGGTGTGTAGGATAAGGGTATCTGTGAAGTTTTGGGTAATACGAAAAGGCTTTAACTATAAAGGCAGAGCTATAAATAGTTCCGAAATTGAAAGTCAATTTCAAAAATCTCCAAAAGAAATTATCGAATCCCCCAAAAATAGTTTACAAGTTTATAAAATATTGACCATTTGTGATGGATATTGACCATCTTCGGACTTGATTTAGGCTTGATAAAGATAATAGGTTATGGAAAGTTTGCTTCAAATCTGACATTACATTCGCCTGAAACTGAATTTATAAATATTGAAAATGTTGACCCTTTGTGATGGAGGTACCAGAAGGGGTGGACCAATGAATCTCATCTTCCTACTTGATCTAGGGTTGGTAAAGATAATATGGTGTGCAAAGTTTGGGTCTAATGGGACATTCCATTTGCCTGATGTTGGATTTATAAAAACTGAAAATTATGGCTCTTTGCGGAAGAGGCATTAAAGGGAGTGGACAATTGGGTTTCATTTTTGGACTTCACCTAGGGTTAGCAATAATAGTACACTGAGCAAGGTCTGGTTCAAATCGAATATTAAAAATTTGTTACCCCTTGTGGGGGATGTTACAGTAGTAGTGGTCCAATGGATCCCATCTTCGCACTTGATCTAAGACTGGTGAAGATAATACGTTGTGCTAAGTTTGGTTGAAATCAAACATACCGTTCACCTGAAATTAAATTTATAAGGAGTGGACCAATGGGTCTCATCTTCCTACTTGATATGGGCTGGTTAAGATAATAGGTTGTCAAAGTTTGGTTCACATAGGATAGTCCGTTCACATGATATTATAAAATTAATTTTTTGGACAATTTTGATCATTTTGTGGGGGAGGTACCAGAGGAATGGACCGATATTCCGCATCTTTGAACTTAAACTAAGTTTGGAAGAAATATTAAGATGTGCAAAGCTTGGATAAAATCGATTAATCCCTTCGAGAGTTATCGTTCCAGGCAGCCAGACAGACTCCAATTTTTCTGAATCGGATTTGGCCCAAGGAAACATAGGGTCTTAAACCAATATTTCGATGAGGCACATTTTTACCGTATCAAAGTGTGTATACCATCATTAGCCATAAGGATGAGGGTATAAATAAAAAAATATCTGACGGAACTTTTATATTAGGTTGGGGAAAAAGAAATCCATTATTTTTATATGAACTTTAGGACTTTATTTAACATGCTTCGGAATGTCCGATTTGGGTCAAATATGCACCGTTCTGTTGTATGATTTGTTGCCATTTTAAAAGTTGCTTCATAATGCCTCTCTCATAAAAGTCCTACTCTCTATTTGCAAAAAACTCTAGTAGTCGATTTTCACAATCCTCCGTAGATACAAATTTTTATAATTAACGAAATTTTCGAAAAATTCGATCGATACATTACGAGAAATCTATCAGTACCACCATTGTGTTTTTTATAACAAAAGCTATGGATAGATAAATATGACGACATATGTATACTCTGACCTGAATATAAATAAGATACTGAAAGGAAGACCTTTCAGACTATACAGTTTTTGGTAATTATCGAACTACAACTAACGATCTATATTAACGAATTCCAAAAATATTTTAAAACAGAGAGGATTTTCCAAAGGTATGTTACCTAAAGAAATCTGAACATATTTCCTTTGAAGATTTTTAACCCCATTTGAACTCGGAGAAAATTACAAATCATCATTCTATTACCTCAACATTTCAAAAATTGTCGTCACACAACAACAATGTAAATGTCAAAGAAACTATCAATGATCCTCCAGGGATCATGGATGCATGTGCTGTTCCGCCAAAACATAGGAAAATACAACATGGAAGTTGCAAATATACGTATGTGAATATGTAATCAATCAATATGTAGCTAGCTAACTAACACATGTATGTAAGTGATGATAAAAGAACAATAGCACTTTCGCTTTCATGGAGGCAGGCAGATCATTTTATGAATACCAATAACAATAACAACAACAAATTATTCCACATGTCTCCTTGGGGAATAAAGATGGCAACAAACTGCAATACATCAATTATGGGGGTAATGTGAAGATCACCAATCAATGAGGGGTATATAAGGCATTGGGTTTGATGAAATCGACAATCAGTTCTTTGCAGAAATTCATTGAAATATGTTATTTAAAAAATTCATTGTGCCTCTGATAGTTATCCTTGTGGCATGCTGTGTTGGTAAGAAAATCTGCAATTTTTTCTTTTGGTTTAAACTAATATTTTATTTTCTATTTTTTCTATAGCTTGCCATGCTGGAACCTTTAAACCCTTTGTACGCAGCCGCTATAGTTTACGTTGGCGCAAAACCACCGAACCTCCCAAGGTATGGGACTCGACAACTTCTTCGCCCAAAATAGAATCTGTGGGAACAATAAAAACTGTGGAAAATGTTAAGCCAATGTTAATAGAAACTTCTACAGTCCAGGGAGGCGTGGTGAAAACTTCTACCCATTCGCCGGACTATGATTATTATGGAAATAATGAAGTTGAAGACAATGATCGTCCACAAAATTCAAGTAACTAAGGGACGATGGGCATTTAAATTTTTTGTGAAAATATTTTTATATATATTTTTTATAATCAAATATTTTTTTTAAATACCCAATAAACGTACATATATACATATAGAACATAAATATGATTATCTATATACATAATGGGATAAAACTTTTTGTACATTAGAACTTTTTACTGGGTTAACCTACTTTATGAGGATTTATTTGACATATATGCAAAGGAA